GTGTTGTTCGGACCGCCGCAGATTGAAAACTGCCCCAGGCTAATTAGTTTCCCATTTCTCTTGAACCCATTAATCGCTAAAGATGCTTTTAAAGGAAGTGATGCACAAATTTGGTCAGTTTTATTCCTCGTAGATGATTGTGTGGATAAACGCTAACGCAATTGAATATTTTTGATTTGGGCAGCGCAGGTGCGTTGTCTACAAAAGCAAATCAAAAATCGCAGCTCTCCAGGAGCTTGTATAACCTTTTACTTGAAGATTTTTGCGAAGCGGTGGACATGGTTGTATATCGTGCAATAAATCTGGCCATTCTAAGGAGCTTGAAGGTTAGGCCGTGCTTGAAATATGGCGTCGTTTCAAAATTAAGTAGGATATATTTTTGGAAGCGGAAGTTTTTATGAATTAGTGGCGCCAGAAAAGAACATGGTCACGTATAGCTGACTTTTCATCATTCAGCTCGAACATCTGGGAGAGGAAATCCGATAGAATGCACGGCGTGTAAGCAGAACACTGGCACAATTACATTTAGAGTCGAGAACGAAGAGCATAACATGATTCTAAACTCGATTTCGAGCATGAGAACGTCGAGCCGCTTCTGTTCTCGCATTTTGGGAAGGCTCAAGGCTGTCCTGAAAATCACCGTCAGAAAACTGTGAAATATGAAGTTTCGCCATAGATCATCTCCTTTTAAATGCGCCACGCATTCCTCTTCATCCAGAATCGTGGAGGTATTTGAATGCGGTATGGTCTATTCAAGGATTTGTGATTCCAGCCGTGCAATGTTTTTATCATCCCATGCAAGTCTGGAATTGACCGAACCCGGATCGAATATTTGATTGCAGCCTAAGGTGATAGATTTCGTTCGTTGTCCTTCTTATAACCGAGAGAAAACGCGCCTCATGTCGCGGCTCAAATGGTTACTACTACGCTTTTGAGAGCCCTCGCCTTGGTTACGATGTTCTTTGAAAAAAAACGCAGGGGTCATTGTAGTCACTGGCCTACCAGGAGTTCAAATGAGGCTCAACCTACCCCGTCATAAATCCTCGACACACGCTCGACATAAGTGGACAAGGTAACATAAGAAGAAAAATATTAATAAAAATAAAAACAGACATAAAAATAAAATGAAATAAAATAAAAATATAAATAAAAATAAAATAAACATAAGAAACTCAGTTTCGAGCATGGGAAGGTCGAGCCCTTCTGTTTCCGCAGTTTGTGTATTGAAGTAACCGTAGTTATTTCGAGTTTCAAGGGATTGACAAGACCACATTCGTGATAAGAAACGCTTCAGAGATCCAGTTGCATGAACCGATGGCTTACTTATCCCATAATCCCCTTCTTCTTTAAGCCCAAGCAATAGCTGTGAATTTTATTGTCAACATGAGAAGAATATAGAAGTGTAACAAACCGTAGAGCTTGAGAGCTCTTGTAGTGGAGTGGGAATCGATGCCTTTTTCAAACTTGTTTGAGAGCCATACATACACGCGCGTACAAACTGCCTAGGGTTTCATACGGATTTGCGATGAAGAGGCAGCCCATTGAAAATTAGGTTGGAGGTGGTCAATGATGCAGGAAAGAAAGAAAATATCAAAAAAAAAAAACATGCCTAGAAAGTCAAAGAAACGGGTGCCTTCCCTATCCGCTAGTTTCCGTATGATTGCGACTCTTATCGGGCTGCCTCATCACGCAACTCCACTCTCTCTTATACGAAGTTATACGAGGGGAGGCAGCGGCATGGGGAAGTACTGCGCCAATAGTGCGCCAGCGCCTGGGAAGGTCTGGATAGCCGAGAACATGTCCTTCGATGCGAATTCGTGTGGGTCGCACTCGAGGAAGTTCGCCTGTCTTTCTACCAGACGATTTTCGCTTCTTCCGAATCTTGTCCCTATCGGTGAGAATCTCCTAAAAATCACCAATATATATTTCTATTATTTTCATTCTAGATTATCTGGTCCAAATTCGCCAGTTTTTATTAAGGTTCAATTGATAGAAATCAGCAAAACATGACGATATGCGACCTAATTTCAAGTTATGTTCTCAAGTTTTGAGTGGGCGAACCTTCTTTCTGACCAAGCATCTGACTGCAACTTACCTAGGAAGGAGCCAATTACTGTCCGTGCATTTTCTCTGAGGCGGAAGACCAATGCCTCACTGAGAAAGGTTGAGATTTCTGAAAAAACGAAATGATCCGTGCCTAAGATGACTGCTCACTTTTTTGCAGGGGTACCTATCTTGGAGTCTCTGTTGAACTCGTCCCAGACCTTTCATGTCCTGCGCAAAAACCTCGTGCTACCCGATTTTAGTCTCAAATCGCGGTGTTGTTATTTCCCCGAATACGTCCGACTTTGAGGCAGGATGAGGCAAGCGGAAGTGTGCCTTTCGGGGTGTCCCCCAACAGGCCCACCGCGCGGCGAAGCAAGAGACGCAGATGCGGCAAAGAGACGAGTTGCAGCGCGTGCTGTGCGATATGAGACGTAGTATGGTACACTCTCTTTAACCTGACGCCTAACCGCTACAGTATGCGCTGCGACTCGTCCCTTTGCCGCGTCTGCGTCTCTTGCCTTCGCCGCGCGGTGGGCCTGTTGGGGGACACCCCGGTTCTTTATCACGCCATCGGTGAAATGGTGTTGAGAGGCGCTCCTTTTTGTTTTGGAATTGTTTGTTGGATTTTCTCCATGCGGCTGGCACCTCGCATTCTTGAACGTAACGAGTGAAACGTTGAATAAACTTTATGACCGCATGCTTGTAAGGCCTCCAAGGATAAACCATCAGCTCCTGGAGCTCTTCCTCTCGGCATTGTTTCGATTGCGCAACGAACTTCTGATGGTAAAAACGATGGCACCGTTTCGCCAATTGGTAACTGTTCAGTGGAGGTGCCGTGATCTGATTTGAAAAGGTTTGAATAGAAATTCGTCAGTATCGATTCCATTTCTGGCCGAAACGTAGTTTAACCCGTACATGTGGCGAAGATACACGTATGTAGTATGATTGTCAATGAGCAAACGCAAGTATGAACCAATGGAAGCTAAGAGCCAGACAAAGGACCACTCGCTGGCTTGGTTGTCACAACTGTTCTAAGGCACCCGTCAACTTTTCCCACTTTTTCCTGAGAAAAAATTCTCAAAGTGAAAAGGAGGTGGTAAAGAGCGTAAAAACTGCATCGGCTTCCTCACACTTGGTCAAAAGAGGCTTCAAGATTACACAGTCACTGGAGAACGGAGTACGACTTACTTTCAACTGAACACTGAACTGAACAGTTTTGATTAGAGGAAAGAGATCTTTATTGACGAGCCATTTAAGAAAGCACTTGAATTTGAAATAAAAGTTACAACGGTCATATAATAACATAGTAAAGGCACTTGACATATTATCTAATAACGTTACATTATAATGCACAAATGACAAGACAAATCGAAAAATACCATTTCATCCTCGTACTGTATTCAAAAACCCATTAAGTCCACTCAAAAAGTTTCCCCCGCCGGTTTGCTTTTTGAAGGCATGAGCCTCCTGTTGGAATCGATCCTCTTGTAATCGTTCGAAGGCTGCACACTTTTTGTCCTTCAAAATGTTCGGGATCTGAAACACTTCCAGTAATCGATTACTCTCATTCACTACCGCTGAAAGATTACGAAGAGTGCGCCAATCGAATCATTAGGAAATGTCGCGCATATTTACCTCTACATAGAATTTGGAGCTAATTAATTACACTCTGGACTACGCAGTGACCCGAAAAAGCGCAAAATTGTAACCAATGTTTTCACCCTTGCCTGATAAATCGTGGCCACAGGTTTTTCAGTGAAGGATGGGTTCAGTGCATGTAGGCTAAAAATGGTACTGAGAGCATGGAAAACGAGGTGAAACATTCATCGCTCGAGCTAAATCCTCGCGAGCACAAACATTATATCTTACATATACGTCAAAATTCGAGGCTGAGGAGAGTTGGCACTGCCTCAGTGATGAGACGCGTATTTGACTCCCAGGCAGACTCGGTCTTATCGTTGGGACTTTTTGCAAAATTTTCACGACCCTCCTCCTTCACGAAACAGATCCTCATACGCCCCCCACCCCCCCAACCCTCCCTGAACACACGCCTTGTTCCCTCAAAAAAAAGCACGCCGAGCGGGAAGGATGTATAACTTACCAAACGCAGCCTTCCTATATTTCTCTTGTCTTCGCCTCCATTTCCCTCTATTTCCTCTACTTTCACCTATTAGTTTTAGACAGCATTCCAGCTAATATTCATTCATTCAATTCCGTTGCGCTTCCAGTGAGATCTGCTATCATATTGGTAATCCCAAAAGAATAGAGGGTTCACAAATACGAGCGCAATTGACACCGTAGACCCTTTAAAGCCATAAGGGAACTTTTGTAGTCGACGTTCTTTTATATACTAACGAACGCTTATTGATTTGGATCCAATTTCTTTTTATACGGACTTTCGTTGCTGCTGTAAAATGTCGCGTGTGTGGTCGCCTGCAAGATCCGAGAACATTACACACTCCGATTTTCGTCGCATGCCCGTGGATCGGTCACTCGATTCAACAAGCACTATGGAACGATAAGGGCGCGTGTAGCTCAGTGGGTGGAGGAGCCACGATCCCCGTTTAGAATCGAATCCCGGAGTCGTCAAACGGATACGGTGGTTCGGTGCAGGCTGTTTGGAATATCATCTTGCTCTCACAAATTAACGCAGGCGCCATTTACCAACTCAATAACCTCTACGTTTCTGAACTAAGTGTGTGCGTAGCGTCATTGAGGAAATAGTAAGCGGCAAGGGGCTACACTTTCATATAAAAGCAAGAGTTTTCGAATCGCTCTCCCCGCCAACCGAGCCATTTTTCACATGGTGGCCTGGGTGGATTCCGGTTCATATGGGTGCATTAAAGCATTGATCGTTGGCCTCCGAAAATCATTGTTTCGGCCAATTCGCAGGAAAATGCCACTGCTTCCTGAGTGGAAACAGAACGCATGGCACATCTTCTTTACCATTCACATCTTTATAATGCCAAGCTAAGTTTGTTTCCTTTTCTTGCTCAGTTTTACTT